GTTAATCTAACCCTTTTGCATCCATGAATAAATAAGCCCACCTGTTCTAGAGAGACAGGATGTTTTATGTACACGTTGGTCTGAATATCTCGCGCACTCAGCCTCTCGAGTTCTGTGTGAAACTCAGACAGACGGTTCTGAGAGAGGAGGAAGAGCAGGTTCAGTCCAAGCAACTGGTGCATGTAGGCAGCTTCAGGTAGTTCCTCTCTAAGACACATAAAATGAAAATTACAAACAGTTATATTACATTGAGCATCATTTCTCATAAAGGTGTACAACAAAGAGACATTACTTGTAATCAAAGTAGTAACATTTCAGCTGAGCCATGTATCTCTCAAATGATGGGATGTCTTTCTTCAGGATGCTCCACAGGGCTCCGATCTCTAGGACATCACCTGTAACAGGTTGGATTAGAGCGCAAATTTTATTATGTTGAGCATGCAGGACCGATGTAGCTCACTTTTATTACGTCTTACTTACGAGCTAAAATAAGCTGCTGCTTGGTGAGTGCAGATCCACTAGTAGGTAAAAAATTCAACTCCAGTAGGGAAACCTGCAAGAAGTTTTTTGGTGGTTTTAGAAAATTATCAATGTAGATAAAAAAAAAATTTCCTAAAATCTTTGAAAAAAAATATATATGAATATATGAAAAATAAATATACTAGGGCTGAATCGGATTAAATTTGAATAATCAACATTGAAATAATCATTCAATTTAGTAATTAATTAGTTGTTAACTGGAGTGTAGAGACTGTAAAACAGGACTTAGCTGACAGAGTAACCCACTTAGAGCAGTAATTATATCAGAATTGTTTAAAAAAAAAAAAAACATGTAAACATTTTACATTTAAGATTAAAAAAAACTTTTTTGTCCGTCAATATGCTCTATCCAGAACTCCTCAAGTTTCAAATTTTTAGTTTCACTTGTTTCATTTTGTTAAAAGTCTTCTTTAAGTAATCTCTGGCTATCTGATTATTATTTGAAAAAAATCATTGACAGATTGGCAAAAGGATCGGTATTTGCAGCCCTAATGTATACATATATATATATATATTTTTTTTTTTTTTAGTTAAATGGTGACAGTGATCGTCATCATTATTATTATTACTTGCTGGTTTGCTTTTTTGTAGGGCTGGAGGATATGGACAATGTTTTTGTATCAATATATTTCTTCATTCTGGTCAATCAGATAGAATTACTTTATCAACATAAACATCTAAAACAACTATTTCACCAAGTTTATAAAACTTTTCTAATATACATTTTTTTAATAAATATCTGCTTTAAAAAAAAAGAAAAACCAGACATAAAACTAAATAAAACCATAAGCATTAAAAAGTGACAAATGCTGTAATCATGCACTCTAACATATATTGAAACATTGGAAAGTTGTTTAAAAGTTATAACAATTATTGAATAAAATTACAATATATTAAATAGTATTCAGGTCCTATTATTTTCTTCATCAAACTTTAAAAAAAAAAAATCTATTTTTTACAAACAAATCCCAGACAAGTAAAAAGTACCTTGGGGACTAAATATACAATAATAAGTAAACAGACTCAGTTTACTTTATTCAAGTGAATAGAAAACTGCTGGTTGCTTTATTAATTTTACCCCATTTACCATTTTGGTTATTTTGCTCTAAGATTTTGTGGAATAAAACAAACCATCATATATTCCACATGTCTGAATACATAACTTTCAAATCTCCTCACTTTTTTTAAAGCAAAGAATTGATTTTAATGGAAAGGGATAATATAGATAATAATTATTGTCTACCAGCAGGATGTCACGCATGTATTTTGGTTTCTCATATGTCACAGGCCCAAACACGTATCAGGAGCAAAATGGGAAAAAAAAAAAATTGTCACAAAATAGAGGTAAAGCAATGTTCACAACCCTGGTCCTCAGACGCCCCTACCCTAGATGTTTTAGATACGTCTCTGTTCCAGCACACATGATTCAAATGAGACTTTAACAGACTTTGTCATTTTATACAGAAAGAGTGTATACGGAAAGAAAGGGCTCCTCCTCTGCAATCAAGTGCTACAGATGTCTGCTAATAATCCATTGTTTTCTGGCATGCTGCAAGAGAGAAAGCACCTAAAACATGCAGGACAGGGTCACTGAGGAACAGGGCAGGGAACCACTGCTGTCAAATAATTCATAAGAAGATCAAATATAGAGGAAAAATTATTGAGATTTTGGTAAAAACCCTTTGAAAGCAAACATATATGGAAAATATTTTGTGTATATAATTCAAAATAATATAACACCTTTTCTTGAACGTTTTATATAATTAGATTTTTTCTAAATTTATCAGATTATATTAATACAACTCCTTAAACAACAAAAACACATTACCTGTCATTTATTAGATGTTCAACAGAAACGTTATATCCAATCTACTCTTTCCATAACAGTTATTTAATCTTAAGGAATATATACTTTTTAAATGACTCTTTGTAAAAGTAAAATTGTTTGAGTGACTGTTTTTGTTAAAATGTTTCAGTTGAATTTCTGCCAACGTTAGCACATAAACGATGTTTTCTTTAGGGGAAGATGTTTTTTTAAAAACTTTAAACACAATTTTTAAAAACCCTATCGTGAAAAGAAAAATGAAGCAAAATGAAATATAAACAAAAAACAAATGTCTAAGTAATCCCATAACTGCAAAACATTATCTTAGCTAAGCTAGACTGTTAGCATGGTTAGCTTTGCTAGCTAATAGCACTACAGAGAATCGAAATAAATACTGATTTCACTCATTCAAATAAAATCTATTTAAAATAAAGATTTTTCACCTTTAGCTTGATCAGAAGGTCCCCACATTTATTCAGGTTCGGGTTTTTCTTGTTCCACTCAGCTTTAAGAGTCTCGTACAGCCCCGCGGTCTCTTTCAACGCCATGGTGAGTCTGCAAAATGTACGACACCGGCCACTGTAATACGTTAGGAGGCGTTGCCAAGGGCAACGTGGAACTGACGCGTTTATGGAGCGTAAATAGTCTGGTTCGTCTTAAAAGGAGAGTGAGACGGAGAGGGATTATTTAAAACAAGATTAAAAGAATAAAACACAGGTATGTTTATACATAAAAAAGTAGAACACCAAGATACTTAAAAAAAAAATAAAAAGATTAAGCAGAACAACATGACGTAAACATTGTTTTTAGGAAACCTGGGAGGAAGGATTTGTATAAATGTTATTTTCTTCAGTGTATTCAGGATGCAGCAGTCCAGCTCCACCACTTATCTTTGCATTTATAACAAAATCTAATATTTTCCTAGATTTTAGAATTTGTGTAACTCTACAATGTGACAATGTCATCATATATAGCTATAGACTTAATTTAGAGATATTACAGCTATGGATGCTATAACAGACAGAGGCAGAGGTGGGCGGACTAACCACAAATTATACTTAAATAAGAATAGCATTACCTCATCATATTTTTACTCAACTGACAGTAAAAAAGAGAAATTCTCTAAAAGTACTCCTAAAGCTTTATCTTTTTTAAGTTACTGAAGTAAATATAACTGAGTAAATTACTTAAGTAAATTAATAACTAGTACCTAACCACCTCTGGACAGAGGGTGCATCAGTTTAATCCGTTATTTATAACGGGTTATTCTGAGCCACATTCATACTCAGCATAAATGTATATTATTAATGCTTATATTATAGAATTTATAGAAAGGAGACTGTGTTCAGGAAAGCAGTTAAAAAACCTAAAAAAGAAAAAAATTGAAATGAAAATTTTGAGTTTTCTTTTTTCTGACAAACCATAAAAGTTGAATAAGAATGACTAAATAATGGCTTGTTCCAGTATATCATACTGAGCTAGTTAACAACACATTCTGTTCCCTAAGTTATACCATGCTAGTTAGGTCATGTTAAAAAAAAAAAAAACAATTCTCTTTCATTTTTGTGTAGAATATATGGTCATTATGGCTTTCCACACATTTAAAAACAATCTTTATCAATCAAGGAGAGCAGAAGCCAGAAGCGCTGGATGATGACGCTGGGTCTTCACAGTTAAGAAGAGGTAATAAAAGATGAAAAACCAAACAGGTTTAAGACAAAATATTTTTTGACTATAAGGTGGGGTATAACCGATACCAGTATCACGCAGGGCCCTGATCTTGCACTAAAATGGTGGTATCGGTATCGGCGAGTACCAACAAATAGGGCACCGATACCATTTTGAGAGCCAAAAGTTTATCAAACTATTGTCACCCATTCCAGGTAGGCAATAAAAAGTTCTACTGGATTCTTTGTATTAGTCTTTTTCCTGTTCACAAAGGTAGGCAGTAGCTTGACAAAGCCATAATGGCAATTATTTTACATCCAAGTAGTATGCAGTTCTTCATATATACACACACACATCAATTTCAAACAGATGGTATCGGTATTGGCCGATGCTGCACAGGTATTGGGTATCGGGGCCAAAAAATGGCATCGGCACAACACTACTATATAAGGTAATGGTTTGTAAAAAATTGAAGCAAAAAACAAAACAAAAACAAAAAAAAACTGACACAAATATTTAAATATGTAGTTTATATTAAGAGATTTTGTTTATCTATTAGGCAAATATTTCCACATTGTTTGAAAATATTTGAGTTCTGAAAGAAAGCAGGTATAGGTTATGCTATTTTTCTTTATCTTGAATGGTAGAGAAATGTCTATGTTTGTAATATGTAATGTTTTCTCAGATGTTACTTTACAACCAAGAACTTCTAGTTATTTTGGGGAGGTTTAATGTGATTGTTTAACTCAATTTAGTGTATTAGTGAGGGACATAGCAATTCTACATGATTTTTAAACAGTTTTACTGATACAAATAAAAAAAAAAACCCTGCCACGAATCTTGAAAGACTACGTTATAAAAATTAATCTCTGATTTCCGATTATACATTAATGCAGCTTGACGTGTTGTATAAACATTAGCCTGTAGGTGGCTTTAGTGAGCTATAGAGCTGGCTGCAAACGTCCGACGAGGAAGACGACGCAGGCGATCAGTTGATCAAGATGGCGGCATTCGGCACAGACCGATGGCTGAATGATTTACCAAACCACATTATTTTCAAAAAGGTACGAGAGAGATTGGATGCAGATCTCGGGACAAATGAGAGGGAAAGAGCAAAAAATCTGACTTTTTGTTTGGGTGGAGACTTTTTCCTGTGGGACGACCCTGAAGGCGTGTTTTACACCACCAACCTGCGGCAGTTAAACTCCGCAGAACCCGAAAGCAGCGGGAAGTACCAGACGTTGCAGTGCATCAACCCACCTCTGTTCCAGGTCCGCCATGTGTTGCTGAGCCCCACGCAGCACCACGTCGCGTTGGTCGGTCTCAGGGGGGTTTCGGTCCTGGAGCTCCCTCAGCGATGGGGGAAGAGGTCAGAGTTCGAGGGGGGGCGGGAGAAGATCAACTGCAAGACCATCCCGGTGGCGGAGCGCTTCTTCACCAGCTCCCCGTCAGTGAAGCTCAGACAGGCGGCTTGGTACCCGAGCGAGACCGATGAACCCCACCTAGTGTTACTCACATCCGACAACACCATCAGATTTTACGGGCTGAAGTCGCCCCACACCCCGGCCAAAGTGCTGCCGGTGTCCCAGTCGGAGGATGAGAGCAGCCTCCACCAGCCGGTGAGCTCCTACGCAGCATCTCTGGGAGAAATAGCCGTCGCCTTTGACTTCGGACCGGTTGCCTCCCCTCCTCGGCAGCTGGCCTCACAGTGCTCCAAAAACCAACCTGTTTATCCTCTCTACATCCTCTATGAGAACGGAGAAACCTACGTGAGCTACAGCAGCCAGGCCAACGGGCTCTCTGTCAGTAAACCAGCTGGACCCCTCCCCATGTATCCTGCTGCAGAGGATAACTACGGCTATGACGCCTGTGCCATCCTGTGCCTGCCCTGCGTCCCAAGCATCCTGGTGATCGCCACAGAGACCGGGACCCTCTATCACTGCATAGTCCTGGAGTCTGAGGAGGAGGAAGAGGCTGGAACGGCGGGGAACTGGATCAGAGGCTCGGATTCGGTTCCGGCTCTATATGTGTTCGAATGCGTTGAACTGGAACTCACGCTCAAAGTGGCGACAGAAGAAGACGAGCCTCAGGAGTTTGATTTTACCTGTCCCATCAGGCTGCACAGAGACCCCCTGTGTGAGCAGAGGTACCACTGCACCCATGAGGCAGGAGTGCACAGCGTGGGGCTCATTTGGCTCAACAAGCTGCAGAAGTTCATCCAGTCAAACGAGGAGGACAAGGACAGTTTGCAGGAGCTGGCTGCAGAGAAGCGTTGCATTGTGGAGCACATACTCTGCACCAAACCTCTGCTGAGCAGCGAGTCTGCTCCAGTCCGTGGCTTTCTGATCGTGTCCGACCTTTCTCTGGGCGCCACCATGATCTGCATCACCGCTAACTATGAGTGTGTCATGCTGCCTCTGCTGAGCTCCATTCGTCCTCCATCTCCTCCGCTTCTTTGTTCCGATCCAAGTTCCGGCTCTGTCAGCTCACCTCTCCGCGGCCTGGCCAATGACTCCTTCGAGCAGCACATTCGCAGAATCCTGGCCAGAAGCTCCACCAACCCCATTGTGCTCAAGGCTGGTGACAAAGAGGCCGCCCCACCACCGGCAGAGTGCCTGCAGCTCCTCAGCAGAGCCACACAGGTGTTCCGTGAGGAATATATCATGAAACAGGATATGGCCCGGGAAGAGATCCAGAGAAGGGCAAAGCTCCTGACGGGTCAGAAGAGCAAGCAGGTGGAAGAGCTGGCTCTGTGCAGGGAGGAGAAGAAGAGTTTGACAGAGAGCGCCGAAAGGTTGGCAGACAAGTACGAAGATGCCAAGTATCGCCAGGAGGCGCTCATGAACAGGGTGAAAAAAGTGCTGTGCAGCCTGCAGAGCCAACTGCCCATCCTGTCCAACAGCGAGAAGGACATGAAGAAGGAGCTGCAGAGCATCAGCGATCAGCTCAAACACCTGGACAACTGCATCAGACAGGTGAACATGAAGATGGAGTATCAGAAGAAGCAGGTGAACAAAGACAAGTCTGCATCCAGGGCCACCGTGCAGCTCAACGCTCAGCAGAAGAAGGTGGTCCAGGATGTCCTCAGAGAGCAGGGACAGCAGATCGGAGACATGATGAAGCAGATCAAGGACATTAAAAACCACTTCAGCTTCTAAACTCATTTACAAACTTTATTGGTTTGTTTTAGTCACTGAAATTGTCCTTTCTGTTCATTATGGCAGATTTGTTTAACCAAAACATCAGAGAATGACAACCTCCTTTCCTTAAACTGCATATTTCATGTTTGATATTTAGCATAAGTTCCACATCATCGTTTTTTTACTTTAATAACTTTCCTAGAACAGAAAGAGAAGCTAATGCATAAACACTCAAAGTGTCTATTTTTGACTTGATTTGTCAACTTAAAAAAAAAAGAAAATAAAATGTCATCTATTGATGTTTTTTTCTGTGCTTAATAAGATGTTCATGCTCTCCAGTTCAGATTTGACCATTTGAAGTACAGAAAACCATTATGAGTAATAACTGTGGAGCAATGGTAGGCCGACGGTTCTCTTTAAACTCTGACTTTTTTTCAGGTATCTTCAAAAACTTTAAAAGACTTAAATTTCATCTTAATTTTTAACCCTGGAAAATACTATAATCTATAAATATTTGCCATACTAGGTCTTAAATTACAAATAGTTGTTTCGTAAATATGTATATTTGCTCATTAATTGCTCTTCCAATCATTTTAAATTGATCAGTTTAGGAAGTTCTTAAATGGACATGTAAGGTATTTCATTATGGAGGTTTAGGGAATTAATTAAAAAGGGTTTGAAACCTAGGATTTCTGTTGGTGACTAAAGTTCTTTAGAAAACTTGCTGTGTTTTATCAGAAGGTGTTTATTTTGTGTAATAAAAGTATTGGATTCAATCAATAAAAATCTGACGAAGTGCCTTACCATAACTTAAGGTAGTCTACAAGATTCAAATGTTAAATTTATTTTAAAAAAATGCAATGCTTAAGTTCATAACTTCAGATTATAAGGAAAATATTTTTGCTTTATGCAATATATATATAGCTTAATATTTAAATTGAATTTTAAAATGTCTTGCATTTTAACTATTGAAAATCCATGTCTTTTTGTCACAATAGGCACACCGTTAACTCTAGCTCAATCATTATTTTTATTTCATTGTGTGGATATTAGTCTTTAAAAACATTTTTTTCTGAGAGGTCACTAATTAGAAAACTAAATATTTCAAATCTCCTAAATCAGCAAAATATTACTCCAAGTTCTTATGTCCCTGCTCTGCCTACACTTTCAACATCTGTTCAATAGTTATTTTACAAATAAAATGCATAATTTTCTATTTTTAAAATTTTCTTATTTTTCAACATTTGTTTTTTTATCTTTGGTGTTGAGCACTTAGACTTTGCAGAGTTTTATAATTGATAATAAAATGCCTTTTTCTTTATGTCTTAAGTTAATTTGTTTCCCCTCAATGAAAAAAAAGGTTTGAGAAGCAAAGCTTGACGGGAAAAATATCCTTTAATCAGAGTGTGTACTCTCCATATGTCCAATTATCTGTATTTTAACATTATAAAAGGTTAAAACTGCATTATATCAAGAACCTGCCTTTAAGATGCAGGTTTTTGTGGATTGCAAATGCAAATTTGGCCAACCTTTCACTCTTACTAACTTATCATCCTGTTGTTGAATAGGGGATTAAGCAAAATGATCACATGCATTTAATTCTGTGTGAAAAGTCTATTTTTGCAATAATAAATTTTATATGTTTCCTGTATGTTTAAGAACAAAATTAGCTTTGTGTAGGTATATTTATAGCACATAAAATAAGTATTGAACTGACCATTTTTCTCAGTAAATATATTTCTAGAGGTGCTATTGACATATTCACCAGATGTCGGTAACTATCCATGTAATCCAATCATACAAAGAAATCAAAACATAGATGTCCAGAAATACAAGTGATGTGCAATAAAGTAAAAGACACAGGGAAAAAGTATTTAACATTTACTGAAATTTATTAAATACTTTGTACAAAAGCATTTGTTGGAAATGACAGCTTTAAGATGCCTCCTGTATGGAGAAATTAGTCGCACTGCTGGGATTTTGGCCCATTCTTTCACACAGTCTTCAAATGTTGACGGTTTTGTGGGCCTCTTATATGAACTCTGATCTTTTGGACTGGAAAACCCATGCATACTCTGGGAGAACATGCAAACTGGGCCAGGAATTGAACCCACAACCTTCTTGATGCAAGGCAGCAGTGCTTCCCATTGCGCCACTCAGAAAAATGTAAATGGTAAACAGAACCCTAATGAAAAAATATTTTCAATAACTACCCTAGGATAAAGATTGGGTGGTTTTCAGCAGTGCCAGAATTTAAGCAACTTATAACTAATATTTGTGATGATTTTATCATTTTCTTTATATTCTTAAGACAGCGACGGTTAATTGGATGAATATTTTCATTAAAAATATGGAAATTAATCATAAGAATAATTTTCTCACTAAATACACCTTAACACCTGATTGGTTAACCTGACATCTCATCTGGAAAAGGAAGGTTAAAGTGCAGAGATAGTCTCACCCACTGACTGTGATGTATGAGTCTGACAATTAAAAAAACACTCCTTTCATAAAACACATGGAGACAGCAAAAGTATGCCTCAGTCACAGGTTTATAATATGAAATAAAAATCCCAATATTTAAATGAAATTAGCATCATAAATACATTTTTTTAATTTCATTTAAAACTCATGAGGAAAAACTACAGAAATAACAGCTATTTATATGAAATTTTCTTTTAAAAACAATAAAAATGATAAAACAGCTCTTATTATAATATATGATGATTAAATAACCTTTGTTTTAACATATAATTTATTTAAGGCAACTATTGTTTTTTTCTGAATAAAACATTTTAATATTTGTTGAGTTGAGTTACTTTTGGGTTTCCATAAAGCATCTGACTATAAACCCTGTGTGGAGTTGCTTCTACTCTGAGTTTAAAGGACTCAGCCGAAAACGAAGAGTTTTTCCAGTATCAACTTCTCACAAAGCGTTGTGGTTATGATTTCCCAGCGTTAAGGTGTTATGCAACTACAAAAAAGATCATGGGGAAATCAATCAAATAAAAAATAAATAAATAAAATACTGATGAATTCTAAGCATGACTATAAAATAATCAGGAGATGATATCCAGCAAAGTCAGAGAGTTCTGTAGGAATGAAGAAGAAGCATTGCTGAAAAAGAGCCATTAAAAGATGAAGGTTAATTTTTTTCACAGTAACCTCCAAACATGCAAAACAAATCTGTTGATTTGAAAGTACTTTTTCTGATTGTACAGCTGGAAAACAGTAAACCTTCTGCCACCAGATGTCCCTCCTTCTCCACAGCAGATGATCAGAGCTTTACGTCTACCTCAGCTTCTCCCAGTGAGGAATCCCCCACATGTTCTCCTCCCTGTGACGTAGCAGAGGAGACCCCGGTTTTGTTGAGTAAGGTCTGCTGTTGGGGGATCTCTCATGTGGTGGGGGTCATCTGCTGGAATCTGCTTCTGTCCCTCAGTTTCTCCCTCTGTAACTGTGGCTGAGCTGTAATGTTTATCTAAGCAGCGAACATGTTCAAATGATTTATGACTCATTTCAGCCTAAGTTTTGGAACGGGCAAGTATTGTTTAAACTACCATGGTGATTTTTTTTTTCATTCTGCTTTCTAAACATGCTGTGGCTTTAAAGTACACAAACAAGCAGAGTTTATGACCATATAAGGGTTTTTTTGGTGTTATTGTTGCTGGATTTTCGTTTGTTTTACACATTACCTCAGATTTTCCTTTTTAAAAGCACAGTAGAGGGTGCGGTGTTCTGCAGAACTTCCACACAGAACCGTCAAATAGGGAAATCTTTCATAAAGGTACAGTGTTAAGCTACTGGGGAAGGTTAGCAGACCCTAGGAAAGGAGATATTAATAACCCTCAGGACCAGCCCACCACATTCTTCACATGTGAGTCACTGTAAGCCAGAGAGCACGGAGGAAAGGACTGTATCGCCTGTTTCTCATTTGTGTTTCTTTCCACGCAGGAGTGGAACGAGGAGGCGTCGAGGCCTCCCCGTCATTAGGAAACCTCAGAAAACCTCGTGGCTTTCCACGGGATCCTCGCCTATTGCTCATACTTCCAATGTTTATGCCAAATAAGCTTTAAAAAAATAAGAAAAATTGAACAAGCGAGAATGTTAGATGAGAGGGAGCAAATGGAGTATGTAAGAGGGAGTAAAGGCTTCAGATGGCAGGAGTTAGAGGGGAGAGAGGCCTGGAAAATGGTGGTATGGGGACTTGGCAGCGGAGGGAGTGAGTCACTGTTTATCTGGCCTGTCACCAGGAGACAGAGAGAGCTTGATAGAAAAATAAAAAAAATCCTCTCAGCTTGGTTTCTTGCTCTTTAGCCCATATTATCCACTGTTTCTTGCATAAGTATTCAAGCTCACTTGCCCTTTATAAAATCACAGAAAGACCTTCAAACAGGATTTAAAGCAAGGAGCCTTTTGGTTCAAAACAGCTGCACAGCCCAAAATGTAAATCACACTCTTGCAATTTCTATTTAAATAAAAAAGATTAGTGTTGGTCTTTTGCGAAAAAAAGAAAGAAAATCAAGAATAAACATCAAGGTTTGTATTTGTACTATTATAACAAACAAAAGGCTCAATATGTGTGAATACTTTAACTCAAGGAAGAAAAAAATGTCACAGTTGCAGAACTTTAATTGTTTGCATTAATAGTTACCATACAAAGAATTTGTGGAGCAGTGTACAGTAGTCAGTTATTTATCAGTCTTTCAGTCTTTATCTCAGCATGTAATGTTCTTATATGCAACTTGCTCCTGCACATTAACATGAAAAGCAACAGTTAAGATAAAAAAATACATACATTTTGCATAAAACCATGGAAGGGATCAAAACGGTATTAGACATGAGCTGCTTCTTTGTATTGAAAATACTATAAACAATCCAGTGAGCTAAGCTGGTCAGGCCTGAGAAGACGTGAAGAAAAAGAGATGTAAAGAAAAAATTACTTTCAACTAAAATTCCTACTACAGAAGGTGCCCGCTACATGTAAGGATTATATTAACATTTCTTTTCTGATAAGAGCCCACTCATCTGTCATAACAGACGCATTTTTAAAAGCTCATCATAAAAAAAAAGAAATTTTCCAAGCCAAAGAGAGAAAGCTCCATAACTTGGTCGCTTGTAGGAAGTCTGGGTAACGTCAAGCTTAAATAAGATCGCTTCAGCTGGGAAAGAGTACAGTCAATTTAAGGGAAATTATACATTACTGTGCAAATGTTTTAGACACCAATTTATTTATATTTTGCTACCAAGCAGTCATTTTAAAAAAATGGTCGGACTAAGATTCAGGGTGTTCCCCACCAGGTCTCTGAACCTGTCATATAGATCCAAACCACGCCAGAATCAAAATAAAATGAAAACATATTTTAAGATGCCGTTTCTCTGCTTTAATATCTTTTTTTAGTTAGTTCTTGCACTCTTTCCTTTTATTCCAGTTTTTTTTTCTTGCACAAACGATGCAGTGCATGCTGTTATGGTCACATGTGAACTACTTTAAAAAGCAAGACAAGAAACTGATTAAATTCACTTTAAAAGATAAAAAGAAACTCTGAACTTTTAGAAGATGCATCTTAGAAAAAAGGGGTGGTTTCAAACGTTTGCACAGTAATGTAGAGGAAGTTGAGGAAGTGAGAGTGAATACAAAGAGTAACAAGAGAGTGCCAGCTATAGGAGAAGAATCCTCTGACCCTCTGGGGTGCGTCTAGGCGTCAGAGCCCTTCTGCCTGCGTTTGGAGGGCGGGATCAGACGGGTGGGCAGCTCAGGAGGCAATCCATGGCCCTCCAGCTTCACCTCAATCAGATGGCTCGCCAGGGCAAATTCCTCATCATCCAGCATGCCGTCACGGTCCACATCTGACAGCTTCCAGATGCGACCCAGCACAGAGTTGGGCAGGCGGGTGCTCACCATCCAGTCCTTGGCCTTGGTGCCGCTCAGCTTGCCCTCATTGGGAGCAAGGTTGTAGAAGATCTCATCATACTTGGGCTTGTCTTTCGTCACCACCCAGTCCTCCTCCTCCTCGCATCCCTCTCCGTTCTCCTCAGCAAACGGGTCGCCTTCTGTGAAGGGCCCAACCCGGGTCCCCAGGAAGGCTCCGCCCTGCACACCGGGTTGATCTCCTGCCTCCAGCTCCTCCTGGCGCAGCAGGGGCATCAGTTTGGCAATGTCAGAGGAAAGCAGCTCGTCCAGGGCCACCATCAGGTTTGGCTTGAGAGTTTTGAACTTGGTGAAATCATGAGCCATCAGTTGTTCCTTTAAGAATGTAACAGTAAACATATATATTAGCCTGTAAACTCACAATAGGTGAACATTTTAACATTTCTTTCCTTTTAAAACTAGAAAATTCAGTTGAATTTAATCTGGTAGAACAACAGGAAGAGGCACATAATATGTGTCAAGTGGAAGTAAAATGAAAACCCAAGCTAATTTGTGGTCTAATCCAAGCAATATGAGAGACAGCGGTGTTAGGATGAACACCTGGAACAAACCATCAGCACCGGTAGCTTTTCCTCCCTTAGTACATAGGGGATGTGTAGAAATAATGGGAAGAAATGTGGCGCCAAATCAATGTTAGAAGCTAAAAAAGGATTGCATAAGGTTGACCTTTCAGCAGGAAAACCCTAAACATGCATTCAGAGTGACAATCAAATGGTTTAAACCAGTTGATTTCAAACTTTTCATGATACAGCAAATTAATTCTTATGCTGAGAAAAAAAAGGTGGAAAAATTCCCAGTGTAAATATCTTTGGCTAAAGAATGTTTTTTTTAGATATAGAAAGTTTTCCGACAAAATTTTCTTTTATCATATCTACCATGCTCTTATTCTGCTACTCAACAACTTAATACAATTTACTAGTATAATTCATATTATATAGTGTCACTTTATATAGTGGCAACATTTTATGAAAATGCTGCACTTTTTTCTTTCTCAGATTATCATAGAGCTGCAGGAAAAGAAATCCACAAACACTTGCTCCAAGTTTTTGTTTGCCCAGATGAGGTTATTTAGTTAGTTTGGTATTTAATATCCAAAATGTTGAAGTAAAAATATTTTCAGATAACTGTTAAAAGAACTTTGCTGTTTCACAGCACAGCTGGCAATCTTTATTATTGTTTAGATGGTGATTTTTTTTATTTTATTTTTAAATCTTCGCCTTTATCTAGTATTTTTTTCTCTCATATTACCTTCATGGGAAGAAGACAGACATTTAAAGACTTTTAACAGAGCAAAAACTCGACAAAAATCAATTAATCTAAACCAGCTAATCAGAAAGAAAAAAACAAATCTAAAAAAATCTTGGAAACTTTTTCCTTATAAAAGAAAAAGGTGTGGGATTGCTTTGTTGATGTAATCGTCTGTTTTTCTACTAAAGTAGAATACCTTGTTCCATTAGAAATACAAGGCTGGCAGGTAAAAATAAAGTGATTTAAATTTTATTTTAAAGTTCCTTAAATGAGTGCAAAATATCCTGAAAGTAATTTCAAATGGACCATCTTGGCCGACATGACTATGATCTAGATGAAAGCAAATTCAGAATGTAGCAATGTATTAGAATGGCCATGTCAAAGCCCTGCGCTGAAAACATGACATAATCTGCATTAATCCCCAAATGCTTTCCATACAAACAGATTTGAGTTTGAGCCGTTTTCTTTTTAAAAAACAAAACAATAAAAAGAATTGTGCAGAGCAAGTAGACCTGTACCCCAAAGTCTTGCAGCCCTGACTTCAATAAAACAAAGTATTGACTGAATTGAGCTGAACACAGAGGAAAGCCAGATTATAGATCAAGTATTTAGAAAACCATAATTTTTCTTCCATTTCCCAAATATGCTCCTACCTCTGTTGGCCTTTCAGATAAACTCCAAATACAATACACTGATGTACGTCACTGTAAATGGGCTAAAGTTAAAGGAGTGTGAATACTTTAATCTACCGTAAATGCCTAGAGCATTTACGGTAGATTAAAGGAGATGTGGATATATAAGATATATAAGAGCTTCGCCTGACCTGCATCTTAGCACAATCTGGGAAATCCCCGGCAGAAATGTTGTGCTGCAGCTGGATCTTTGTGAAAATGACTGGCAGCTGATAGATGAGATTCTTCTTCTTATTGTCCTTCCTGAAGACGGATGGCATCTCCTGCTTCAGGTAACTGATGATGTGGGCATGAACCTGCAGGAGGAAAAGCCCGGTTATGCCATCGTTTCAGGCGAGTGGTTGGAGTTTGCCTGGAACATCCAGGTTACCTACCCTGACCAGACGCGCCCTCTTGACCAGGTCGTTGAGCTTGCGTAGAGCCGCATTGCGAGGGAGGTTTTGGATGTCAGCGAACAGATCCTCCTCCTCCAGCTCAAACAGCTTACGGTTATCAGGGACCAGCAGTGGTTCTGACCAGAAGGAGCCAATGTAGACGCGCAGAACCTCTGGGGTGCCGAACACCTTCCCCAGGGACCACATGAGCGCTCCGTACACTCTCATCAGCTGCTGGGTGCCCACCATGTCAGCTTTGTTGAGCACCACCCGCAGCTTGTCCTCGTTGCCCTTCAGAGCCCCGATGGCCTCAGAGAACTCATCAGAGATCTCCAGTTTGTGGGCATCAAACAGCAGGATGATGCGGTCTACACGCTCTGCAAACCAGCGCAGCACAGCAGGGAAGTCATAACCTGGTTGAACAGAGGAGAAAAACAGAGATGATTGACACAGATAACCCCGTCTTATCTATATCTGCACATCCCCTGCAGCTGTACTTTTAAGTGTTGAAATAATAATTTCAACCATTGTTTGACAGCTTTTACTTTTCTTTTCTTAATCTTTCGTTCGCTTCTCATTCTTTATCAGTTTTTTTGTGCATTGTGTGGCTAATAAAGCAAAAGAACAGATTGGGATGTTTCAGGAAAGGCGTGAGAATGCAAAATATTAAAAAAGCGGTTTTATATAACAAATTAAATACTAGATTCCTGCAGTTTTAGGCTGAAGGAGGAAAATCCTCATGTGCTCTGCATGGTTTCCACCAAACTTTGCTTTTAAAGTAAGCTCACATACCTGTATTTGGATCTACAGTCTGAATGACAATATTCCATGGTCTTATGGGTCATCCTGAAGCAACTTTACAAATTAAAAGTGAAAATTTATTCTGGAAACTCTTCCAAACCAGCAGAATAAGTCTTCGTCAAAATCTAACCCCATTGATTTTATGATAAAAATGCCCTTGAGTTCATTAGGTGGCTTACTAGGTTAAAAAAAAAAAGGAAATGACTGAAAGAATTGTGTTATATTTGTAGTTTACCCTGGCATACAAAGATGCCACCTTTATGTTGTTTCAGAAAATCATTTGAAACAAACATGATGAACTGTGATTATTTCACACACAAAATATTTATTTTGCAAAATCAAGATTTTGTGTGTTGGCGTCCTGCAGAGTCCCTTGAGGGACTCCACATCCGATGAGAAAAAAATAACCTAAACCAAAATGTGCATGAAGCCTGTAGAGTCTGAGATTAAGTTCTTGGGTTTTCTTGCATTATATGTGTTGGTGTTAGAATCTTGAGGGTTCCTTTTCTCCTCAGGAGCCACCCTCCTGCATGTTGAAGGAGTTTATTATCTTCCACACACCTGACTTAAGTAACGGGATAATTAACAGGAATTGCAATTGATTGGTTCAGGTATGTAGGAGCAGAGATCAATCTAAAACATGCTGGACATCCGGTCCTGAAGTCCAGGGCTAAAGTCACTTGCTCTCAAGCTATTACTGATGTCTTTCCATCTTAGCATTGTGTTGAAAGACACCAGTACTTCTGAGAACATGCAACTTTTTCCCAGCTTTTTATTTACATTATACTGGCACGAGTACAGAGCAACAAAATTAACTCTGTGAGTTGCTCCCTTGGTGAGCAGTGGGCTGCCACTGAGCAGCACTTATGGAGCAGTATGGGGTTAAGGGTCTTGCTCAGAGACCCAGAGTGGCAGTCTGTGGGAGTGGAGCTTTAACTCAACCTCAGGATTCCAAGGTCTATGCCCTAACCACTAGGCCGCCACTCCCCCTGATATATAACATCCCAAATTAAATCCTTTAAAGCTGGCTAGCTTTATCCAGCAGCTGGCTAGGTCAATTGGCAAGTCACCTGTCCTGCAAACAGGAGGTTTGAATTCCGCGCCCTAGGTGGGGGGAATGAGCTGTCAGTGTAGGTCCTTAGGCAAGACCCTTCACGCCAATAAAGGGTCTTGCCTTAGACAATAAAAAGCTGGGAGAAAGAAAGAAGCAGCAGGATCTTGCTTAGTTTTCTACATTAGTGTCCAAATAAGTTCCTAATTTGGTTTTCTCAGCCACCAGTATCTTCTATCTAAGGCTGGTGGATTTCATTACTGGTCTCTCTGCAGAATGGGTTAACATAAAGGGTTACAAGATGGAGATGATGGTAGAAATTTCCCAACAGAGCATTCTTCCAGAAGTGCTGACAGAAAGTCTGTATCTGTTCTTGATTATGAATTTATGGGTGCTTGATGTGCTGCAGGGATGTTTGTGAGTCCTGCTGCCAAGTGTTATTTGTGACGGAGCGAACCGGTCCCATGAGTTAGCTGGGTGTGGTGAGGAGATGAGTTCATGAAGTGATGATCATGGATGCCTCTTTCTCTGGTCAGGCCCTCCTGACCTCTCCTCACCTTTGTGTCCCCTCTCACCTCGGCTTACTCTCTGCTTGGCGCCGGACAGGATCCCCGGTGTGTCGATGATGCTGATGCTCTCCAGGACCTGGTTGGGCATCTGGGCACACTGAAATCTAGGATATCCATCCACAGGCAGGAGAATGAGTCAAATCAATGGAAATAAAATTATTTAACAGCTATTTGTTGGAAAAATTAAAAAAAGGAATGGAGCTGCAAAAATTTATATTTGAATGGAAATAAGTCAGAGTGATTGAAAGAATCCCCCCACACACACACACCCATCAGCCCATTGTGTGATGGCTGGCCTCGCTCTGCTCTGGGCTTCCTGAAGGAAAATGACCATTACTGCCAGAATCAAACAATAAGATCTGCTAACGATCTGTGGCTAAGAACAACAACCCTACTTCCTGCTGTTTAAGAGCTTAACGGGCCCCACTGGTTCCCAAGACAGGAAGTCAACGCAAAAGGAGACACTGATTAGTTCACAAACACGACCCTGATGGAAAACTCGCATCAGACTGCGCTCCCATTAGCAGGATCTCTGCAGGTTCCTGTGACGTCATTCTGCTCTCCTGTGAGCAACATACCGCGGTTCCTTTTTTTTATTTAACAGTTGACATGACAGGCTGGCAGCTCAGCAGATGAGTTTGGGTGGAGACAACTTCAAGATCGCTCCATTCTTTCTCCCTTGAAGTCTAACTTTAAATATTTGTAATTTCCCCTCCGGGGCTGCGCAGGCCTTTGACCTTGTCTTTTAAATTGTGTGCTCTACAGTTCATGTCTGCGTACATTCTCTTTCATCACCCACTCGGGTCAAGTCGCTCCCTCTTTCTCTGCTTTTCCACAAATAAGGCAGAGGGCCTCCTCTCTCTGAAATTTGGCACAAACTCTTGAAATTCCAAAGAGCTAAAACACTTTCCACAAGCGCTCTCACTCTTTCCCTCTTTTCCCCTTACACAGTCTGTTCATTCCTAGTGGATATATCACTGACTCCCTCCCTTATAGTGGAAATGTAACAAGACCCTGAGAATAACCCTCCAAAAAACTCACCTGTTGAGGAAAGTGTTTCCAAACGGGTTGAGTTTACGAAATGGCTTGTTGGGGTCTACGATGAGGGCATTCCCAGGAATAACACCCTCCACCTCTCCATGCATGATAGCAGTAAAGCAGTCAGTGGTGGGTTCAGGACCCACCCTGCTCCCAGGAATGTCCTGCTCCAGTAGATACCTGTCAATCAGATGCATTTAAGTGTTTATAACAGGTTGGTCCTCATAGAGAAAATACAGTGTCTTAAGTTTTGCACTTTTACACATATTAGAACTACAAATTTTACTGAATTAATGCGATAGACCCACGCAAAACATGTGCATCCATCAAGAGATTAGTTTTATTTTTTTCTTAAATGTTTATGCAAGTAATAAATTTTACTACAGTTTATAGCTGCTGTTCTTTTGGTGCATATCCACATGCCACATCCTTAGACGTCTGCTCAATCCAATTTACAGAATTGCTCAAGCTGAGTCAGATGAGATTAAAACCACATGTGACCAAAAATGTTGCTAAAGATAAAAGAAATGCATGAAGGTCTACACTTTGACTGGACCATTCAAACACATATGAACTATTTAATTGTTGCTGTGAATGTTTTCAACCCGGAAGATGAAGCTTTATTGCAGTTTTGTGCAATCTTAAGTCTAACTAACACAAGAAAAGCACAATCACAGCATGATGCTACCATTACCATGCTTTGTCGCAGCAATGGTGTGCAGAGGAGGATATCCAGCCTCAATTTTCCTTCAAATTTAGTGTTTTGTACCCAATAAAAATGTAAAATGTTGGTCACTCTCCCTGACATGTTAGTTGTGTCCTTTGTGTGGCTCACAGTGAACTTTAAACAAGAAATATGGATTTCTTTTAACAATGTCTTGTCATTCTTCCATAAAGGCTAGATCTGTAGAGAGTAAAACATCATCTCTGATCGGCCTAGATATTCCTGCTGATGAGGATTTTCCCCTCAGCATTATACTGTCACCACTATGTTTCACTGTGGGTTTTTGTTTCAGGAGGCTTTGCATGCACGCCATATAGATCCCCTTTTGATCCAGTTTGAAGAGGGTAGCTTCTTCAAGCCTTCTTATGGCATAAATGCAATCCAACAGTTGTCCTGTTGCTCATGCCTGTGCATTGGATCTCTCCATTTACACCCTGCTATATTTTGAGAAGATGGATGGTAGGTATATCTGCTAGATACTCAAAGCTTTGGATATTGGTTTATAACCATACCATGCTTTTATAACAATAAACTTCATTACACACTGCTGCAATGTTTACAAATGATTCTTTTTGAGGTTTGGTTTACATTTTACTGAGGAGTATCAGTTTAAACCAAATGAATGCCATGTTTTTCATTTGTAACAAATTCTAAAACCACACTTTAAGTGGGTCCGTTACATAAAATCACCCCAAACTATGTTTGAACTATGTGGTTTCTAGGAGTGAAAAATGCCAAAATGGTGCATTCATATATTTTTGGAAAACTCTAGATTTACAAACAGCTCAATCAAACAAGTGAACCTATAGAGTCTTACTTGATGAATGTTGTCTTTCCAGTGGAGTACTGTCCCACGACCAGAACCATGGGCTTGTTGTCAAAGTCTGCATCTTCCAGACTGAGGGAGTGGAAGTCATGGAAACCATAGTACTGCTCCAGAGGCAGCAGCTTCTTACGGTACAAAGACTTCAGCCCCTCCGTCACAGTGCGAATCACCTCAGGCGCCTTCTTTACATTTTTACGCCCCCAGCGTGACATGTTTGATGACTAATGAGATAATTTTGCTATAGAAATCAGCGTCAAGGATGCTTGTTGTTTGGACCTGCAATTCCTGTATGTAGACCAGGGAAAGCCTTCAGGTGTTTCCTGTATTTATGTGAAGGGTGCTCGCTTTGTCCTTGAGATGGCTTTTGTATGCAGCGATGATAGGGTTTTCCCTGGAAAGTGGTACCAACGCTGACAACTTTTAGCTCCTGAAATATTGACCAAAGAAAGAAGGCAGGTAAAAGAAATATATGGAAATAGGGAGGCTGATTAAGACATCGAGGGGATTTTTTATGTCCCTGCGGCTGGTGGTGAAAACCTGCCAAAGCTTAAGGTAAGGTTCTGAAATCTAAAGCAAAGGAAAAAAAAATTATAGACCACCAAGAGACTGTTCAGTTTTGTCAGTGCACGCCTGGAAAAAAATGTGCGTTCTCTCTGGAAAATCTTTCAAACCAGACTCCAATGTTAGGATTTGCAAATTAGCTCATTTCTTTACAGTAAAATGATTAAAAAGGTCCTTTTATCTCCTGCTTTTTCCACAAACATGTGCATAGAGAGTTCATGTCAGAAGAGGCAGCTTTTCACATGGAAAACCAGATTTCACCCTCAAGTCATGATCTTTTGACTGCAGTTTACATAAACAGAAGCTCTAGGTTGAGGACTGAAGCCTGAACTCGTTATAGAAGCAGAGCTGGACGAAGGCGGAGAGGTGAGATACATGTCAGCAGGTAACGGCTCATCTGTGGAGAACTTTTTTCTTTTTTTTTTTTTAACTCTGAGCATAGCTGGGTAATAAAACTAAACAGCCCAGAGGAGAATGAGGTAGACAGTTCTGACATGTCACAAGACCACTGTGGAAAGAGTCAAAATGGCGAACTGTTGAGAGACATTGAATATTGCCATCACATACACACAGGCTCTGTGAACACCAAGCATAGCTTTAACAGTCCTGTTTGAAACATTATGTTTGGTTAAGGCTCTGGGATCGGTTTATTGAGCTAAATAATGAGGGAAAATACCGTGTGGCTTTTAAAACCACAATTGCCACACGTTAGAATTTAAAAATTTAGAAAACAAGTTAAAGCGTGCTGGAACAAACAAATACTACTTTAATGCTTTTAACATTTATAAATGGATTAAAAAAGTCCTGTTGCAATTAAAAGAGTGATGTTACACTTTAGTAGAAAAAAAAAGGGTTACTGATAGATACAAAGTTTAAAGAGTTGAATTTACCAAGTCGATGTAGATTCTTCCTAAAGCACCTTGATCTCTGCGGTCTCGCCCTCAGGAGCCTGGAAAATATTTTGACTCAAACACACAAGAGTCCGTCTTGCAGGAGCTGCTCCTACATGTATGGGTGTACCTCCAGCAGTAAATAGGAGCCCTCTGTGGAGCGGCAGCACGGCTAGATTACAGAGGATCCTTCTCTTCCAGGGTTTTAATACATTTCAGATGAGCTCTGGATCTACTTGCTGGAAAAAACACAAGGCAAACACTCTCTGAGGGATTTTTTTTTTCTCTCCCTTTCCTTGCTTTTTTGAGTTTGACAGACCCTCCTACTCCTATTTCAGGGATGCCCAGCAGTACTGTGGGCACTGAAGATAGTGTGCCTGCAGAGGGATGAGCTGAGGAGTGACCAGAAGGCGTGGATCTTCTGAATGGGGAGGGAGGGGGGGTTACTTGGGTGGAGTTTTTTTTTTCTTCTCAAATGATACATCCATGAGCATATTTCAAATCATATGACCTCAGACAGCCGTGTTTTCTTCTGCTAAATCTGAAAGAATGTGCCTAATATTTAAAGACAGAGCAGTATGTTTGCCTCCCATCTGTCCAAAACTTTCCCTAAACACTGTAATCTTTCTCAGTTAAACTAACTCTGACCTCATTAACTGTACAGGCACCACCTGGTGGTTACATGATGGTTACTTGGATTCACAGATCACCAGGAACAAGGGATTCATAAAAGAAGCAAGGTTTAATTTACAGTTTTACTAAATGTACATTTCTTTTTAAAAAGTGTCATTATACACAATAAATACAATACAAAAATTAATCTGTAATACTATACTTCAAATTCTCTTCCGGTCTTTTTTGTACATTATTATTGTTCCATTTTTTTTTCCATTTCAATGCTTGTGCTGTGTTTGTTTTTGAATTGTCCACCAGGCTTAAAAAATAGACAAAAAAAAGCAACAAAAAAAAAAAAAAAATCAAACAGAACTCATGAGAAAGATGAGAGAATGAGGGGAAACTAGTTAAAACTGGGTCTGCCCCCTGCTGACTGAAATGCATAATGCCTCAACCTGCCCTAATGAACATCAGACAAACAGAAACCCGGTAAAATTTGACATCAGGTACTGAAAAACAGTTCCTTTTACATTCTGGTATTACAGCATTGGAGTAGAACCAAAAAAAAAAACCGGCTGACAAGTTTTCTAAAAAAATGTCCTTGTTATATTTAAGTAAATGCTAATTTGTTAAAGGGCTGATTTGATCTGTTTTGCCAGTAAAAGCCACTAAAATAACTCAACACTAATCTCATATATAGTTAGACCTGTAGTCGGCCGTTAAAGTGTGTCTTTTGCATTTGTGATAAAAGTCAAATTCGCAAGGTGCAGGGAGCTCGTAAAAGCGTCCTGCTGGTTTATCTTTTGTGAGTTGTGACGAGCCTGATGCCCAACAGGACACAGTTTAAAGAGCATGAAGAGTCTGCTCCTGGGGACATGTTAGAGGAATGTAAACAGAGACAAAAAGAATTAAAGAAGACATGCCAAAGCAGGCATTATCAACTGTTTTAGTTTAACCACATTAAATCCGTCGGGGTGGCTTAGCTCAGCTTGTAAATAATAAAGAAATGCCGGGCAATTCAAATAGACAAAGGCAACACAGCTTGGGAGAGTACGTCCCTGTCCCTCCCTCTAGAATTGTCTCTGAGCCCCCCCACCTCCCACAGTCTGGGTTTGAGGGGCTGTTATCTGCTCTGAGTCTGAGGAACCAGGCTGCCATTGTGGCCCCGCCCACCAACCTGAGGGTGCGAGGCCAACGAGGAGGATGAAGAAGGAGACGAGGGAGTTGGGACCGCATGTCTGTGTGATGAGACTGTCAAGTCTCCTGGGCGCTGACTTTGGTGTTGGTGGGACCTCCCGCTGCCTCCTTTGATGTGGTGGCCGCGGACCGTGGGTTCCTGCTGCAGGTTCAGGATGCTGTCGATGGCGCACTGGAGGTGCTCGTTTAGAGAGTCGTCCGGAGGGCTGCCGCTGGAGAAGCTGGCGTTGTCCATGTCGGGTGAGTCTGACTTGCAGCGTTTGGCAGGAAGCAAAGAGTCTCGTGTGAAGGAGGACTCTGGAGATGGAGGTCCAGGCGCGTGTTGGTCCATTCGGAATGTCCCTCCAGTCCTGTGTTTATTTTTTCCACTGAACCTTTTGTACTTACTCACATCAGTCTCTTGGGCTGCATGCTCCTCCTCCCTCTCCTTTGCCCCCTCCCTGTCCAGGAGCAGGGAGAGGTGATGGTGCTGCGTGGTTTTGACCCCTCGGTTAAACACCTCGTTCATTTTGTCCAGCCCCTGCATGGAGTTCCCTAAAAGCCCGCCTTCGTGGCTGGAATCTGTCGGAGCGTGTAAGGCCTCCCTGTCTCTTTTCTCCACTCTTACACTTGCTATAACTGTCCGTTCTGAGGGGGGAGTAGAGGCCCCGTGCCTGGGGGGCGACGGTGTGGTTCTCGGATGGGAAAAACCTTCGTCTAATCCTCCTGGGATGCCCGGTCTGACCCGCGGACTGATGTTTTCTCTGTAGGTTTTTCTAAGTGGAAGACGGCAGGTGGTCTGTGAGGGAGGGGGGTTGTGTTTGACGGGGTGGTGGTCCAACGTGCCGTTCATCTGAGTCAACGAAGAGGAAGAGGAGGATGACGGAGGAACGCTTCCTCTCAGCAAAGGGTTACTCTGAGTGGTTGTGACGGAAGCTGAAAGAGCAGCGGAAGCTGTGCATGTCGGAGACTGAGATCTGATGACGGTGTTAGGATGCGTGGGGAGATGATGGGACTTAGAGTGCGGGGCAGCAGCTTCTGTCTGAGGCTGAGGCTCAGGGGTGGGGCGACTGCTCAGCTGAGGTTGGGGTGTGTGCACAGGGTCCAAGGCGGTATTGTGGACTACCTTGCTGAAACCCGTCTGATCCTGCTTGATCTTTAGCTTCAAGCCGATTCTGCTGCGAGCCTCGTAGGTCTTGATGGGCGGTTTGCTGGTTCTCTGTGGAAGAGCGTCGTCATCATCGTCGGTTCCTTTGGAGTTCGAAATAGAGGAGCTAAACGAGGACGATGCCGCCGGAGCCCGAGTTGGGGCGGAGCTCTGGCTGACAGGTTCGGCTGCTGGCTTGACTGCCAGTGCTGGAGGACAGCTGGTGGACCAGGACACAGATGCTCCGCCTCCTCCGTGCTTTATGACCAGTTTGGTAGGAGGGAAAGGGGAATGGGAAGGAGGGGGAGGAGGAGGAGTAGGAGACGGAGCAGACACTGGAGCTGCAGCAGGAGCAGGAGCGGGCACAGAGGGAGGAGTGGGTTCCATCTTGATAGGTGGAGCAGAAGCAGGTTGTAGCGCAGCTGGAGCAGCTGTGGATGCAGCCGGACTCGCTGGCCGGAGCTCCGGAGATGCTGATTTTTGTTGGGATGAAACTCCGCTCTCCAACATCCGAACGCTTGCAACAAACTCCTCTGCAAGGAAATAAAACCATATCCCTGGTTAATTTCAAAGTGATCATTCAGAACTACTTAAGCCCTGCGTACACTGTGCAACTTTCGGGCCGATTTTCCAGTCATGCGAGAATCTTTCGATCGGCCCTACTTTCAGCCTGATTGTGCATCGTGTAGTGTACAGGGGGTTTCGAGGAGCGATCAGCCTCTCACGATCACCTCCCTATCAGGAATCAAACATCAAAAACATGTTTGTTTTTCTCACGACCGTCGTGGGCAAATCGCTCAGTGCGCATGCGCAAACAAGGATTTTTCTTTTTCTTTTTTGTCTGAGATGTAAACACAGAAGCAGGGCGGGGATGCAATAAATGCAGTTCTGTCTGTAAAATTGACACACCAGAGTTGCCACGTTTGCTCAGCCATGTCTTTGTCCAAATACGTCGTTGCCTTTTCTTTTTACGGCTTTCAGCACAAATTTGCACAAATTGCCAAGGTGGCGCGTTTCACTCTAGCGAGCTTAATATTCCTCTTCTACAAATTTGGCTTCCAGATAGACGAGTCCGAGTAGCGGCATCTCACTTCAGAGCCGACTCCGACGTGCTTTTTAGTCGTACAGTGTGAGCAGGTAGATCGCATTAGACCGTCGTGCTGCACATAAATTGTGAGCTGTGAACTCACACTGTACGACTAAACCCTGCGGTTTAGTCGTACAGTGTGAGCAGTAGCTGCGAGCAACGATTGAAAAAAAAAAAATAGCACAGTGTACACCGGGCTTAAGAATTTACTTCTCATGACCAGCAGATCCCTTTATGCTAAACTGGTTTGATCTTTTTAAATAAAACTAATAAAATAAAAATAGAAATGTTAAGAAAATAATAAATCATGAAATAAAACTATATTTATAGTTGACAAAGAAAAACGTATTTATTCTATGGAAGTAAATATGTGCCATCAGAATTTTAATATAAAATACCTCTGAAATTTGAATGTTGTATATTAGTGCTTACTTTTTCAGTATTAAAATAAATTCAGAATATATTTTTAACCTAAAAAAAATTCAATGTCATTATTTGTACATTAAAAAAAAATTCAGTGTAATTTTTTTTACATGGTTGCAATTTTCAGTTATTAAAAAAATTCACATTCCTGTTTCAAAGTGATCAAATTTTCAATATACATATTTTTCACTGTTTAAATTTTCAGTGTTAAAAAATTCAGCATATAAAAAATTAAACTTTTCAAAATTCAAATGCAATATTTTCGTTGTCCTCCAATTCAACTTGCTCAAATTCACTGTCTCAAATTCAGCGTCTAAAAATTCGCTGTAAAAATGGCCAAGGTTACTTCAGGTCACAGACATTAGCAATGGATGTCCGATTCCAACATCCACCTAATCACATGACACAACCGTCATATTGAAGAAGTACCAGTATCACCCAGGCTGGCGACCATGGAGGCGAACTCAAACCCAACGGTGAGTTTAATGCTTTCATATTTCTGTAGTATATTTTATTTTGCGCATGAAGTTTGATACATTATCTTAAAGCCTGATTTAAAACACTGGTTTGGGCCGTTGTTAATCTTACACCGTGTAGTGCCGGCATATTACTTCTCGCTACCTCCGAGCTAACTATACAGTAGCTGATCAGAGTGGGGTCGGAACTGTTCACAGCCCCTCTTTGAAGCACACAAGGCAGCCATATTAGCTTACTACATTAGCGGTAGCATCTCCTGAAATGGTATTTCTTTTTGAAATAAAACGGGGGAAATTGGGTCGGGGGGGGGTGGGGGTGGGGGGGGGGGGTTGGGGTGCTCGGAGGTAGCGAGAAGTGATATGCCGGCACTACACGGTGTAAGATTAACAACGGCCCAAACCAGTGTTTTAAATCAGGTTTTAAGATAATGTATCAAACTTCATGTGCAAAATAAAATATACTACAGAAATATGAAAGCATTAAACTTCGCATGGAGTTCGCCTCCATGGTCGCCAGCCTGGGTGATACTGGTACTTCTTCAATATGACGGTTGTGTCATGTGATTAGGTGGATGTTGGAATCGGACATCCATTGCTAATGTCTGTGACCTGAAGTAACCTTGGCCATTTTTACAGCGAATTTTTAGACGCTGAATTTGAGACAGTGAATTTGAGCAAGTTGAATTGGAGGACAACGAAAATATTGCATTTGAATTTTGAAAAGTTGAATTTTTTATATGCTGAATTTTTAACACTGAAATTTTAAACTGTGAAAAATATGTATATTGAAAATTTGATCACTTTGAAACAGGAATGTGAATTTTTTTAATAACTGAAAATTGCAACCATGTAAAAAAAATTACACTGAATTTTTTTTTTAATGTACAAATAATGACATTGAATTTTTTTTAGGTTAAAAATATATTCTGAATGTATTTTTATACTGAAAAAGTAAGCACTAATATACAACATTCAAATTTCAGTGGTATTTTTTATTCAAATTCTGATGGCACATATTTACTTCCATACTATTCCAACTAAATCGCAACAAATCCAAATGTGTTATGAGTTTAAAAAAGCTAAATGGATTTGCTATACAAGAGGACCACAAATTGTCATAAACAGACTCAGCATCAACATTTAGAAAACATTATTGTACTGTAAAGAGAATCAAATAAAGAGCGCTCTGAGATCATGCAAGCGAAGCTTATATAAATGCTTAAATACTTGCAAAATATTAAATGCAACTAACTTGAAACTAAAAAAAAATGTGTGGTTCAAGTTTCCACAATTATATCAAATAAACTCTATAAACAAGTTATTGGTTTTAAATAGTAAAGAATTTAGTCTAAACATTTCTACTGATGAATTTGAAAGCATGTCGAAGAACAAAACATTTTTTTTCAATTGTCAGTTTTTCTATATTTGTCCAAAAAAAAGATAAAAAACTGGTGTTTATTTGTTTATTTCCTGTTCAGGGCGGTTTGTTTTAGCATTTTGCTTTTTGTAAGAGAACTATAACTTTTCAAAGCCCCAAATGTGACAACTGTTACTCCCATCGACAAGAATAAGACTGTAGACATACCCATAGTTTTATATTGAGATTATGTTTTTCACATTTTTAATATTTTAGGTAATTTGTACATAGAACACCAGCAAACCCTGAGTGGCCACTAACCTGGTCTCTCCTTGGCCAAAATCCTGTCCTGATTCAAAGCCACCTTTTCCTCCTGGATGAACATCCTGTCGATCATCACCATCTCTGCTGACGGGCCAAGTCTCTGCTCAGGTTCGAAGGCCAAAAACAGCCAGTTCAAAATCAATTCAAAACAAAAGAGGTCGTTCAAATGAGGAGAATATTGGGTTATAAACTTACTTTTGACTCAGTGAAGAGCAGGTGACGATATTTATCCAGCATGGCCTGGGTCCTTTTTAGCAGCTGGCAGGAGACCCTCTCAAATTCATCATCCACTATGTTGAGGAGAACCAAACAGCTTTAAGGACTTTGATGGGTAAATAAGGAGTATATACTGGATATTATTTTAGTTTATACCTCTTTGATAATCTTGAGAGGAGTTTGCAGTTCCCTGGTAGAGATGGTAAGGCAGCAGTCTGTGCAGAGTGTCCTCAAACGAGTGGAAAGGAGCACTGTAGTTGGGGTGAAGCACTGAACCCTGATGTTTTCTTAGCTGTTCCAGCATCCTGCAGGGAGGTGGGTGTTTACAGAAACTATTCAGAAATACACCAAAAACAGGACAGTTAAAGAAAGGCTGGAAAGCAGCAGCACCTACCTGGCTTCTTTACTGGGTTCAGAACTTAAAGGCATTTTTACTGTTGGTGTCTGTGATGTGAGCTGAAAAGTAGAAAGGAAACAATAAGAATGAATATAAGAAGCAAACTGGGAGTTTTCATTCCTCATTGATCCACGGCATGAATTAAAAAGTTCAATAAGGATTTACTCTTGATATTTCTACAAATATAAACTCCCCCCTCCAAAAACACAACTGAATTAAAGGCCACTGACAGACAATGATGTCAGATGGAGAACCAAACGACCAACAGATGGAAAGAAAATCAAATTGAAGACGGGGATGAATAAACACTAATAGAAACGATAAAAAAAATAAAAAAAAAACTTTCCCACACATATTCAAGCCTGTGAAATTTAATTAACTTTAATTTTCTACATTTTCATGTTTCAAAGGAATGCATCTTCTACCTGAGTTTGTACAGGAGCCTGCTGCTGTGGGACAGACATCTGTGTGAGAGGAGGCCCCAACACCTGGATCTTCATCGCACCTTTCCCTAGAGTCATCCCTCCTACTGAGCTGATCACTCCTGGCTTTGGCTGAACCTGTTCAAACATTTACGAGAAAGAAAAACAGAAATTCTAAACATTTCTGAAATACTTAAAGGAAAACAGCTTTAAAGCAGCACAAACCAACCTGTACAGGCTGGGTAAGGCTGACAGGAGTGACAGTCTGATGAACCATTGCTCCGGCGTGCCCTTGGGCTCCTGAGAAGACCTGTAAGTCACCTACTCCTGTAACAAAACAGAGAGGAAAAGTTCATATGAAAATGTGATGATGGTCTTCTGCCTTGCATCCCAGACAGTTTTTAATGATCTACCTGTAGTGGAGGTTTTGACGAGCACTGAGGTTGGCTGCAGCATCGTGGGAAGCTGAGCAGGTGTTTCTGAGCTCACTGACGGTGCGATCACCCCTTTATCGACAGGCACATCTTGCTGGGAGTTAAACTGTCCCGTGGCTTGAGTTTGAGGCTTTGCCTGTAGCATAATGTTCTGCTGGGCCTGAAAAACAAAAAACAAAAAAAGACTGGTTGCAGTTTGTAAACGAAGTCCAGCATTATAGTAGTGAGGCGACTTGAAATTTGACCTTCATGAACACTCACTGAATATGAGTTTGAGCAAAGAGTGGGCGGATATTTTAGCCTTAAAGGTGCTATGTGCAACCTGCAGCAAAACGTACTTCTAAGTATTTGTTCAAAGGGGTTGCAAGCTAAACTTCCTTGTTTTCTTTTATAAAAAGTATTACTTTAGAACTTTAAAACACACATTCATATAGTAATCAAAGCATATAAATGCATAGTAGCATTTTCAAAAAAAGAAAATGTAACAAAAATGCAACTAATGAGAAGTTTTGCATCCATTTAAAAATAATCAACTGAGGCAGACATGAAAAATTCAACATGGAATATAGTTCAGAGAGATTTTGGAAGAAAAGTGAAGTTAATGAAAAAAACTTTTCGGTAATTTCCAATAAGAAACTAAGACAAATAAAAAAAACATGTTAATTGTATCTTTATGCAGTCAAAATGAGCTAATACCTGATGCAGCTTCTCCAGCAGTTGTTTATGCTGATGTGAGGGCTGATTAATGGATGACACAGTCTGAATTTGTGCTCCTACTCTTTGTAGATGATGCTGTTGTCCAGCTGAAAGGCCCTGAATGGGAACTGGAGTTTTCACTACAGCTGTAGCACAGCTGATAGGAGGTGCAGCAAACTGATGTTGTGCAGCTGGTGCAGGAAGAGGCTTGGGTGACTGTGAAACTTGAGGCATTTCTTGCTGATAGGGAGCAGGCTGTGAGGCCGGACGAGGCAGAGGTTGATGCTGAACTTGAATGTGCACCTGCTGGGGGGGCGTTTGCTGCACCTGACCCTGTTGGACAGGTTTGGGAGACTCAGGGATTTGGTTGTGGACGATGAAGAGCTTAGTGTGGGACGACGGCGTGCATGAGCGTGAGGGGGTTTGAGACTGAGGCTGAGAAGGAGGACGCGACTGTTGATGGTGAGGCGACTGGATCTGCTGGCTCAGAGTCAGAGGAGAGTGGGAAGGCTGTGGACTTTCTGCCACTGGGGGAGGCGTGGCATGAGAGGTCAAAGCCGGAGAAGAGGACATGCCCTGGATCTTCAGAGTCTGCTGAGCTCCACCTGAGGGTACCTGAAGAGGAATCACAGTTTAGGAAACCAGTAAGTTAGAAAACATGGAAGAAAATTAAGGGAAAAAACAACAAAAAAACTCAAAGTTTAAAACATGAGAAAACAAGAAACCAAACAAAACACAAAGACATTAACATGATTTGAATGACAGGATCCAAAAATCAGGGCTGGGCGACATCATTTTATCAGAAATAGGTACAGAATATTATGATTTTTACTGTAATCTCATTTTAGAGTGAAATATGGTAAATACAAATTGATAAATCATGAATAAAAATAAAGAGTGTCGCCCAACCCTTGGGTACATAAACATAATCAAACAAAAAGAAACGACACAGAAGCGCAGTATTTACAAGGCGCTGCAGTAAAACACTTAAAGGACACAGATTTTTCTTATTTTTTTTGCATTAAAAGGGAAAGAAACATAAACGGGGATAAATAACTGCTCAGTGACCCACAAGGAAAAGAAGAACGATCTGTGGGAACGTGATGGTAAACTAGGTGATCTAAAGATCGTGAGGACGAGGGCTGGGGAACCAAATCATTTCGGTTTGGAAGACTCCACTTGTTAAAGTGGGGATTTAAAACAGCAGTGACAGTATAATGAGACTGAATGAAACATGGCAGATAAAGAGCAGACACCCGATTAGTCGGCAGTGAAGCAGACAATAGTGAGTTTATTAATTCTTATAAAGCTGTTAGAGAGGAGAGAAAAAAAGGCTGCTTATTGGAACATTTCAATCTTTTTGAATAAGCATCCCTGCATTTAGTTAGGAAAAAAAAAAACTAATCCAAATTATATGTTAACCAAAATAACAAGAGGGAATAAAAGAAACAGAACTTTGATAATCTTTTATTAGTTCAAATGTTAGGGTGATGCACTGAGATCTCTGACAATAGATCTAAATTGAAAATATCCAATCTTTCTTAAATCAATGAACACACCCCACCTATGGCTGGTGTGGATACTGTTATTGGGGGAAAAAGGCTCCATGGAGGTTATTTTAGTCTCAGCAAGGTGTTTAAAATGAGGTCCACTGAACCACAGAAATGTTAGAAGGCATTTAAAAGTAGACCTCATTTTCTACTAAATCAAGAGACGTGTCTGTAGGTCTTAAGGTGTGAGAGACCTAAAGAGAGCTACAGTTTCAGCAGATTACAGAAGAGTAAACAGAGTGTGGAAAACTTCCTCCAATTTATTTTTTCAAGCTTTCAGCGTCTGTTACAGAGACGGATGGATCTGGAAATACTGGAGGCTGCTGAAATCTCAGGGTGCCCACAATTCACAGGCTGGAATAGTTTGGATCCATTAAAATACAGAGATAATTTAGACTGCCATGACCTTATATAGAAGGTGCCGTAAAGAGACCTGCAGCAGAGCTTCCTGCTGCATCACTAGTTACTATGAACAGGTTTATTCTGAAACTTTAAACACAAGTCAACTTTTCATCAGCCAAATTATCAAGGAGTCATATCAAAAACAGGGAGAAGGAGAGCTAACGTTAGCCTAGCATTTTATCAAAAGTCGCTCTGTGCAGAAATCCTGTACATGATTTTTGGAAGAAGCATGGATAAATAAATGACCAAGCTAAACACTGATAAAACAGAGTAACTTTCTATGCTTAATTAATTAACTCTGTGATGGAGCAAAGAAGGCCGTCTTCAAATTACTGGAACAATAATGATCACTGCCAATTAAAATAATGGGATTGAAAGCCTGTTCAGATAAAAATGTTTCATGCAAACATGTCAGACTGAATATTCTAATCTGACTGGTCTGACTGGAAGGAATTTTCTTTCTAAAAGAGAGATTTTCGCCCATTCCGATTGGCCTCCATGTCGATATACCCACTCCGAGCTTTCGAGCAAAACAATCTCCACTGCGGATGTGTGCAACATCAGCGTAAAGTTTTTTCACTTCACATGAAAGATTTAATCTAATCGAGCGCTCGGTACCTGTATACAGACGCCATCATCGGACCATTTTATTTAGTATTTTCAATCTCTGATGAAGCAAGATTTAGATTAGATCGGGGAAATTTTACGCATGTGAACATAGCTACTGACTACTACTAAAGATCATATAATGTTTGTCAGACGTTGTAAAAATTCTGACAACAGAACTATAAGGTTAGGTCCTATATTTCCAGATGTTACATCTTATTAACAAAAACACAAACTAAATCTCATCTAGGTTGTGTTATTTTTCCATTTACCTATTACAACACTACAGATCAGAATAACCATATGAATAAGTACTTATAAAGTTAGAGGTTGTCTACTTGTGAAAAAAGAAATATATATTAATGAATAACAAAAATCTCTGCTTAAATGACATTGCTCGGTATCGAAAAAAAGTCATCAGCAATTAGACCGGACATCAACTGAGGTTGGAAATCCATTAAATCTCTGATCAGTGCATCTTTAGTGAGTAATAAAATGCCACACATTAGGAAGAGACAGCAGGGGCAATCATGCTTTCACTAAAAACGAAGCATAGTGTGGAAAGCACAGATGCTGCAAGCGAAGGACTAATTCGTGCACCAAGGAGTTGAACAGCGCGGGTGACAGCTGTGGAAGCAGCAGAGATAAAGACGGGGAAAAGGGAGGAAAACCTAACATTGTGGCGGCAGCAGCAGCAACAAGTGGGTGGGGCTCAACATAAAGGGGGCAATTCTACCTTTACCACTGCTGTCATGTGGGAGGGGCCAGGGGAAGGGCTGTGGCTCTGACCCACCCAAGAGTCAGTTAATTGGCTGTCATGGACAGCAGGGGCCGCAGTAGTGATGCTGTTGCTGCTGACGATTACAGACGCTGGGACGCCCACTGAGGGGGGAGATTCAGTCTCTGTATGGTGGTGCTGCTCCTGATAGTCCATTTACCATTTCAGGATAGGGGAGGGAGGGAGGGAAGGGAGGAGGGAGGAGGAAGGGGTTTGGGAGAATGAGCAGTAAAATAGTAAACCAAAGAGATCAAACCAAGATAACACACGTGCATGTTACTTTTCAAAGACAATGTTAACAACACATGAAAAATAAAAAAGAATAACAAAAAAAAAAAAAAAAGAAAAAACATGCAGATGCTGGAGGACTGACCTGTTGGAGGAACATCTGCAGAGACTCCTGACTCAGGATCATACTTGAGCCCTGGTTGGTGAACAGTAACCTCCCTGGACTGTTATGAGCCTGAGGGGGGACCAGCCCCACAGCTGTCACAGAGGAGGAGGTTGAAACAGACATGGACGGAGAGGAGGAGGCCACAATGGAAGCCGCGGAGACCGACGGCGCCTGCTGCACGGCAAGTATAGAAGACTGGGGTAGAAGCTGTGGGGTTGGATGAGCTGCCTGTTCGGAGGAGCTTCCCAGAACGGTAACAGTTTCTCCAGTCTGGCCTTGAGAGACGGTAGCTACTCCTGCGCCGCTGGGGACGCCACCTGCCTGGGCCTGCAGCGCGGGCTGAAGGCTGATAGCTGGACTCAACCCTTCCACTTGACTCACCATGGTCAGGGAATTCTGGATAGGCATGCCCTGTATCACCGTCTGAGCATGGCCTGAGACGGCGGGAGTCTGCGTCTGACTTTGACTCTGAGCCAAAGAGGCAACAGGCATCTGGAAAAGGGTGGGTGTGCCCATCTGACCCGGCTGGAGCTGAATAGGTCCAGACAGAATATGGGCAGCCCCTGGGTGGCCCTGTGACGTTAACACCTGGCCCAGGTTGATGTTCTGGTTTGCAGTTAAAATCTGGTTTGCAATGAGCTGTCCGCCAGGGCCTTGACTCGTTATGATGTGGCCCCCCGGGTGTTGGGTCAGGATCTGCCCACCAGCCTGCAGCTGAGGCAGCAGAAACTGGTGGTTCTGGCCTTGGAGAACAGTCTGAGAAGGAATAACGATGCTGCCTTGTTGGTTCAACAGATGCACACTGAGGGGCTTGCCTGATGGTTGTGCTGCTTGTGGCTTGAACAGGGCTTGTTGGAACTGGGGACCTTGCGTTGTGGCCTGAGTACTTAAGACAACATTGGAGCTTGGCTTTCCTGTTAGGAAGGCTACATTCTGAGCAGCAGAAACTGGAAGTTGCTGCAGCCCAAGAGCCTTATGAGCATCATTTTGCTGTGCCTGGGGTGCTGCCTGTGACTGTTGTTGTTGCTGCTGCTGCTGTTGTTGTGGTTTGAAGAGTTTAGGGTGAATGGCTCCCCCCTGGGGGGGTTTAGGCTGAATGGGTGTTGGTGTGCGTTGGATGATCACGTTCTGCATAATCTGGCCTTGAGTTTGCGTCTGAGGCGCCACTCCTGTGTTTATAGGGGTGCTTCCAAAGCCCACAAGACCAGCAGGAGCAGTCATCGTGGCAGCACTGATGCTGTTTGTGCTACTGACAGAAACAGACGGTCCGTTTAAAGCTGGAGAGCCAACAGTTCCTTTGTTACCCTGGATCAGAAGTCCACCTCCAGATCCAGCGAGTCCCGCTTGGGAGCTGGCAGCCGATACCTCTTGGCCCGGCTGCTGCAGCTGGTATCCACCCATGGCTTTGGCCAGGATCGGCTGCCCCGACTGGTTGATAGTCATGACTGTAGGCTGGCCTACAACCTGAATCTGTCCGATTCCCAAAGTTCCCGACTGACTTCCGTTAGAAAGAGCTTGAAGACTGGAAATGGATTGAAGCGTTACATTTCCAAGGCCAACAGGCTGCATAAAAGGCTGAACGCTAATGGCCTTGTTCATAACCTGGGGCTGGAGCTGAAGACCCTGCTGGGCGAGCACGGAACCCAGCATGTCGGCCGTGGCATTGGAAGGATTACCTGTGGTGCTCGGGGCTGATCCGGGGAAAATTGTTGCTGCTCCACCAACACCAATGCCTACCCCAACGGCAGCACCTCCAGCCGCAGAGAGGCTGGCATCAGGCAGAGCTTGAACCACCTGGGTAAGGCCTGGGATTCCAAACGACACCAGGTCCAGCTCACTCCCAGCTTCCTGTAAGCTCTGCTCTGTAATGTTGGCCTCAGCCAAACTCTGCTGCAGAATGTCACACGGCTCGTGGTTTGTCCCGATGCCATTGCTACCGCCTTCTCCACCTGGGGATCCACCCAAGATGTCATCATCCTCAAGGAAGTCCAAATCCACACTGACTCTGGGTAGGCCTGCCGACTCGCTGGCTGGCAGCTGGACCGCAGGCTGGACCTCTGAAACATGGCCCTTTGAGGACAGAAGAAGAGGAAAGCAGTGAAACAAGGTGATCTCTGAATAAACAAGCCTAGACACGAAAAAAGGCAAATTTAACGCAATAAATAACAACAACACCCAACAAAAATGTCTCCTCAAACTGCAGCAAACTTAAGCTTGTTAAGTGGATATCTGTTAGTGGAAGGAGAGGGGATTGGAAGTTGCATGCTACATAGACAGATAGATGAGAGCAGGAAGAAGAATGGGGGATTTTACTCACCCCAGTGGTAGAGAAGAACGAGCTGGAGGGGTCACTCGTACCATCCAAAAGGTCGTCAGTGTCCAACTACAGACACATTCACCAAGGGTAAGACAGACAGAAAGCGAAGGGACCCAAAGCAACAGGCAAAAAGTCACCAGAATGAAACATTCAGACCATCAAAAATAGATGAGGGGACGGAAAGGGAACAGTTCAGAATAACCAAAAGCACCAGGAAAGAGATGACAGAGGAATAAAATGAAGGTAATAACCCAAGAGTTGGGAAGCGTTAGTATTAGCCTTTCTTGTTTTGTGAAGAGGGGCAACGTAACACAATCCGAAAACAAACTCATTAAAAAAGGAAGCCATAATAATGCAAATGGTATCAGCATCTTGTGGCCTGAACACATCTTTTTTTTTGCTATCGACTCAGACACCACAAACAAACATTGAGATAAGTTTGTGACCAAAAAGGATTTGTTTGGTATCTATAAAGCACAATTTTTATTTCAAATGTTTTTAATCCATGTACTCACATGGGTCTCAGATCCATGAAGAAAGTCATTTAGAGCTTCTGGGTCACTGGAGGAGAAAAAAAAAGGGAACCCTGATGTTACAATAACATAAGCCACAAAGCCAAGCATCTAAACTCTTTTAATGAATATTGTTGTGATATTTGAGGTAAAACTCACCAAATTACATCTAGAAGGCACCTGCCGTCTTCATCATCCATGACAACTGTTGAAAATAACACAAAAAAACACACCAATGTGTCATAACAGAAAGCAACTATACACCAGGTCTTAGTTAATCAAGTGAATTAAATTAATTGGGTTGTAATTACATCTCCGCTTTTTTTAGAATACATTTTTTTTTTTTACTTTTTATAGCAAAAAGCTAAGAATTATACATACAACCTGAAAAGGTTGCCAGTGGATCACAGAGCAAAACACAAGTCAGACAACGCCGCTGTGACACAGACCTTCCCACAGGTTCAACACACACAACCTTTCATGTATGTTTTAGGACTGGAGAAGGAAATGGGAGCGCTTGGGGAAAGCCTGCACAAGCAAACCTCCATACAGAAGTATCCAGGTCAGGCTGAATCAATGAATCTTATGCAATGAGACAAAAGTTTTAACGCCTGCAGCTGTTCCAGTTACAGAGAAATAAAGACAGTGGTGGCAATAAAGAAGACTAGTAAACACTGTTCAATTGTTTATTTCCCAACTCATTTGAGCAAATAAGCTCCTCTCACAGCATGGAAAGGATTATTGTAGGTGGATGAGTAATGAAGTTTGGCAGTGGCTGTAAAAACACGATCAGCAAGTCATTATTTGAGTATATTTTAAAGAGGAGTCATTTTTTATGGTAAAATACACCATTAAACTGTATTAAATAATGTTTTTATTGCAATATTATTTTATATACCACCATTAAATTTGTATAACAAAGAATTAAACTATTATTACCTAAAATAAAGATTTTTTTAAGTAAGCTATGCTTTTTTGTTTTGCCTGCAGTTCAGGATTTCTTTAAGCTGTTACAAAGCTCAGTTCATGCACCACTGATAGGTTCAAATTTCCAGAATCGAATCAAAGCCGATTCTCAACTTTTAGGAACAATTAATTTTTTGATAAAATTCAATCTCAAATTGGATTGCTGTTAACAAAAAACTTTTTTGGAACTAGTATTATATTAAAACTAGACACGCAATGAATAAAGTAATTGCTGATAATGGCTGCAAAGTAAGTGGAAAAACATTTGTTAATCAGTTTTTTTGTTATATGAATTAAACTTGAGGAATTAATGTGAGAATCAATTCAGAATTACAAATCAACTTATTAACAGTTCAAGCCACAGTTATTTAATATCTACGTTTCTCTCTTAGAATGTCAATAAAAAGGACAACATTTATTTTAAAGTCTTATTCAATCTTACTATCAATATACCATTGAATTGACAGGTTATAATTTCTTCTAATTTAATCCAGAAAAATCTAAATTCACTCTGCACGATCTGAAAAATGAAGGACTTATCAAGACTAATTAGGCTAAAAATAACAAGTCTCATTACAACCTCAGAACAACCATTTAGAGTCACACTAAAACAGCTTATCGACTCTTCAAAAAGCAGCAAGAGACAAAGATAGCATGGAAACAGAAATATCCCTAAATTTCAGGTTTAAGATGACTAAAACATGGTCAATTTGAAAGAAAACAAGCAAGAGCAAAGCAAAGCGACTGCTACAGTTCTGACTAAAAGCAAGAAAGGAGATCATATCACATCAGCTCTCCAATTACTGCACTGGGTCCCTGTTTGTGAAAGAATAGATTAGTTGTTGTGAAGGAACAATCTCAACCCCTTATGTTATCAGAAACTTGTTTACTTAGTGTTCACACAACCAATACACTAAGTATATTTACACCTTAGTGTTAGAAACAACGGAATGAAAACCTGAGATGTTGAGGAACTGATGGCTTAAAAAAAGAAAGGAAAATATTGTTGTACTAGCTTTCTGCTTTAATGGAAGGCTTGGTTATTCATTGATTACTATTGATTAGTTTTTATTTTTGTGTGTAAACTTAAAATGTAATCATTGATGCTACATATTTATCTGTTCCTTTGCACAATATAAATTGTATTTACAGCAAAGAGGTTCTTATTTTTCAGAAATATCTTATATTAAATTAAACCGAGGCAGCTTTATAAAAAAATAAGCTTACTATAAAAGGAGTGAATATGGATTATTGTCATAAACGACAGATGTAGGAAACAGAGTTTGCTGTTCGCACTATTTTCGTGATGACTCGCGTCGCGTCATTTTCACATGCTTTCTTCGGTAATGATAAACACTGATTGATCTGGTTTGGTCAAGATGAGGTCATCCACAAATCAGACTGAATCTTTGCTTTACTAAACACCGACAAACAGCAGACAATCTGAAAACGCGCGGTTTTCGCACCGCCTGGAAGGATTTCCGAGTGTGGGCTTTCACTGACTTCATCACTAGTAATGACTGTGTACATGGCTTCCAACAACACAAACACGACAAAACCGAGTGGTTAAGATGCAAGCCGGTCATCTATATTATCATGATAGCTCGGTAGCCGCACCGAGGAGGCAGCGGCTCGTAGCCATTGCTCAGTTTAATCAAACCCAGTGCGCAGGATATGAATGGAGACATTACAAGCGGAGATGCTACATGCTAGCCAGTGTTTTTTAACAGCTTTGCAAACAATTTTTAGCTATTTGTCACAACACATAAGCTTTGACAGCTACACATCTGATTAAAAACTCAAGTGAAACCAAACTTTTGATTTTACAACACAGTTTTCACCCCTATTTCTGGTCGTTTTTGATGCAGCTCTGCTGAGTTGCATTAGCCTAGCAAGCTAACCTGCTATCAACAATATTGAGACGTACAGCTAGCTTGAGCCTTTGACATTCAAAACAAACCATCGAGTGACACAATTTGAACACTGAAGCTGCACAGTGGAACCGCAATCCGGCCAGGACCAGGAGGAACCGTATCCCCGGGGCGTTTAAGCGCAACTACGTAGCGAGCTATCGCTAATTGCAAGCAAAATATGAGTTAATGTTGGAATACTCTTGGATGAGGGGGGTATGCTTGGGAATACGGTGGAAAATGAGCGTGTTTACGATGTGGTGCGGCAGCGTGGCGCTTCGATTGCTTTAGCGATGCGGTTCGTGTTTTGTGCGCAGTTGGCAGATAATGGGGCTTTGTAACGGTTATTCGGATTAATAGAGAAATTGCTACATTGTAACAAACTCACCCGAGACGTTAGAGGTGCAGGCAGCGCGGGGTCTCCAGGACAGCCTCGCACGGGCTGCTCGACAGGACCCGAGTACAAGCAGGAAACTGGAGACTTCCGCTCTGCCTGATTGAAATCTGCGTAGTTCATACGGACTCTTTGCACAGGATTCACAGTTTTCTAATAGAATAACCAACGTGAGACACAAAATAAAATATTTTCTTTATAAAACATGTCGATAAACGTGTAAATGTGTCATTTAGTTCTAATCAGATTTGGCACCGATGTAAACAACTGAAAAAGTTTATCTATCTATCTATCTATCTATCTATCTATCTATCTATCTATCTATCTATCTTCTTTTTTGTGTGTGATGTTATGTTGGTTGCTATTACCTCTGATGCCTTTTCTATTTGTTTTCCCTTCTTTTCAATAAGGGATGGCTTTTATGGTATAATCTTGCCATTACAGTTTAAATTTACTGTCTAAACAATACATCAGAATTATTGGTGTTTTAAAATTGCACAAAATGGCTGAATTGTGAGAATTTATTATTTTTCTCCTTTTTTTTTCTTATTTTCCTTTTAGGTGGATTGACAAATTCGAAGAATATAATTAAATAAATTCTGTGTGGGATTTTTATTGATATAAATGCTACTTCTTTATGTAACTGGTGTTCTGAAAATAGTCAATTTTTTATTTGTTTTTGTAGTATTAGGGATGTTGGGTTGTGGTTAGGGTGACATGCGGTCACAGTCATATGAAAGACTGTAAAGAAGTAATGAGTTTCTTTTTATATCCTATCACTGTTATAGCAGAGGCGTAGCCAGAAAATCCTAATAGGGGTGGTCACTCAATAACCAATGTACATTGAGGGGTGGCCGAAAGGCACCAGAACCTCAGGGTCAATCTACACTGTTCCAACAGGAACAAGTATACAACATCCATATTTTCTAAATAAAGACACTATACTTCCCTGCAGCCTCTGCTAACAAATAGACACATATATTTAAACATCTATGCTGTGTAAATAAAAGGTATAGTGGACAAAATTCTTTCAGGTTCGAGTTCTGGGGCTACCATATTTTAATTGTCATTACCTACTTTTATCAATAATCATTCTGCAACAAAAAAAAAATATATATATAAATCTACTAACATCCACATTCAATCAATTTGTATGTTATTATTAATATAGTTATTTATCTATGATTTTACTGAAGACTCCTAGATGACTTGCAGAGGCACATTATTTTATCTTTACCCCAAATAATTCAAAGTTTTGTTTTGCAAAGAGCAGGAATTCTGTTTCTATCGTCTTTAATGTTTGTATATTGATGTGCATAATTAACCACAATGTTTCTGTTGTCAAGTAGTTGTTAATATATAAAAAAATTTAATGTTTAATAAGTTTGAACATTCCCCTTCAGAGTATTACTGCTGCCTCCGTCTGTATTAGAGGGGGAAAAATGGTAGGGGTGGCCTAAGGGTGGCCATGCCAACCCCTGGCCCCCCATCTAGCTCCACCCCTGTGTTATAGTACCACGTAATAAGATTTAAAGTACATATCAGCCAGGCATACTCTCCACGTGTAGAAGCAGATTCACCAGAGATTTATCCTTAATTCCCATTTCCCTCTATCACTTTTTCCCATTTTTTTTACTTTCTGCCTCACTTCTTCCTCTTCATTTTTTCCCTTTGGGCCCAGTTCCTATGTGGATGGCATTTGATATAATACCATATTAAAGTCCAATAAAGTTTTTTTGTATCCATATAAATATCAAGTGGAGCAAAAAAGCAAAAGCAGTCATGCTCCACTTGTAAAAGTAAATCTTTTGGGCTTTTCTTTGGCACTAAGAAAGCAATTCCCGGTGGTACAATTCCAGAGAGGGCACATTTTAAAATAGAAGGATTTGTATGTCAAGAAACCTTCTCAGTATTAAACAAATCTTACTTTGTATGCAGATTATTTTCAGAGATTGTTTGGATATCTTCTTCTTTACTGTGTTTAAAGTACTAATTCCAGACCATATATGTCATTAGCTTGTAAGGCTATTAGTATTCTGTATGCCATCTGTACATTTGTACTCTCAAATCATAGTTTTAATCTTGGAACTAGTAAATGGTTTAATGTCCTTATATAAATTTTGACTTCTCCAGCTGTCTTTTGGCAAAATTTTCACTTTTCCTTTACAGAAAAAAAAAAAAAAAAAAAGCAATATACTTAAAGAACAGATATTTGTGTCTTAACATTCACCAATAATATATACATATAAGTTGTATATATTTACATTTATATGTAGTTTGAATTTACAGAGCAATCTAATGCAGATTAGACTGATTTCAGTTGGGTGGCTGTTAAACTATGTGATAAAATGCAATCTAGATTACCAGATAAAAAATAAATATCTCTTTAATTAAGGTTGAAATCAAATCTTAAATCAGATAGAGATACCAATGCCCCTATTACAGAGCAACAGATGGCAGACATATAGTCTTACAGTGATTACAGAGTGGGAATCAGGAGTTTTGCCTTCAGCCGTACAAAAGAAATTCAAAAGATAAACAGAAAACTCAGTCAGGCTTCAACTGACTGGGAACCTTTGTGCCCTCCTACAAAAAACAAAAAACAAAAGATGCCCTGGGCTGAGAGTCTTATCGCTCATATTAAAATCTCCACTGTTTTGACAAGAAAGATTTTATGTTAGGCATCTTAATGGTCTTAATGATCAGATCTCCCATCAGATACCAATATTTCCTTTATTGATATATTTAATACTGCCTTTAGAAAGGTATAGGCTTTTATAAAGATATATGGAACTATTGTTTTTAAAGATTTAGAGAGAGATTTAAAAAATATTGTTTTGCTTATTTGCAATACAAGATATGAGACTGTAGTAATTTGAGAACAATATAGTAAATAAAGTAGAATAAATTTGATGTTTTGTTGTTTATATTTTAGATTTTTCAGATTATTCAAGAAAATTAAAATGTACAGAATCTATCGTTAATCTGAATTTATAAAAAAAAATAATTGCACAAATCTTAATATTTAATAGGTTTTGCAGTTCAAAATAGTTACATTCAGCCAAGAAGTGACCCAAGTCAACAGAGGAGGGGGGGATTTTTCTTTTAGTGAAAAAAAAAGTGATTTTTACTTGCGGGTGGAACTGAGAAGAAATCTGAGCAGATAATATCACAACAAGTAAAAATGAAATAATAAGCCACAAAAAGTCGTCTCCTATCTAACTTTCCAGCGGCATTTAATAATATTCTCTAGAGACCTGGCTACAAGAGAAGAGAGCAGAAAATATCAAAAAATCACACAAAAGACCTATAGAAAACACACAGCTTCCTTAAGGAGTACAGTCCGCTCTGTCCCTTCTTGTAGATAGCTTCACATTTTAACTCTCAGTCCAGTCAGTTGTCCTGGTGAACACCGTTATATTATCCCTCCACCACCTCCACTTCTTATCCAATAATGATAATGGAATTTAACCTCCTGTTTCTTTTTAAATCTGAAATAATCTCCCTTGTTTTATTTACATTAATGATTAGATGATGAGTTTTTATGGGTATTTTGTCTTTACTTTTTTGCAGTTTTGTTGGGAACATTTCTGGGTATTCCTGCTGCTTTTAGTTGTTATTTGTGCACACATTTCAGTTATGATCAGTACCTAGCACACATTGTAAGAGGGTTAAGTTATCAGTACAATATTTTAAAATAATAGAGCCCAGTGTGAGAACTTTTAACTATTTTTCTATTTCATCAAAGCCAAGTCACACATTTTTACATCTTGGGTTTCTGCAGATAAACTTTGATTAATGTTTATATCACATTAAAAGTATAGTAAACCTCTGAGGTTTCTATTATATGTAATTCCATAAAATGTGTGTGGCGCGTAGGAAGGGTGTATATTGTTATCTATTTATGTTTGAAAGGATATAAAACAGAGAAACTAGAATAGAAATGACTGATAAAAAGAGAACATTTATGCATATAAACCTACCTTATATTTTTCCAAGCAAAAAGGTTTGAGCACCTAACATTGTTTATTAAATATGATTACTATTCTCCTCAAAAATCGCAGTTCCCTTTAAAAGACAGCTGTGTTGGCTAATTTAACAAATTTGGACCATATTTCAGTGCTTTAAAATACAGTATGACAAATAATCTAGGAAAATCATTAATGTTTTTGATAAACTGTGTAATTTTGATCTCACTTAGCTTATGCAAATCTCCTTTCCGTTGTTTTTCTTTCTTGCTGAATGGTTGCCAGTTAGGCCTCTTTTTGGACATTCTTCGATATAACTTTCCTTTCACAAGTCATTTTCTGAATCAAGCTGTTTTGGGGAGGAGAGGAAGTTTCATGCTGAAAAAGAGTGTTGATCTCCCTCCCGTGTTAACCTTCATAATCTGCTCCCAACAAATCTGAGGTTTTCTACATTCATTTTCGTTTCTGTATAGCACTAATTTTTTGTGTTTTATGCATAAATATACAGCTTTTTGAAAGTTTTGTGTGATTACCCAACTGTACACCTCTGTATCTATGATGCTATTTTAACAGGAGTGTGGACACAATATTCTTTAAATAATGGACAGTTTCTGAGATGAATTTAAATGTTATATATAATAGTACAATTGAGTGAAGTGTACGGAAGAGGATTAGGGCCACTGAAAAAAAATAAGTTAACTGATTTTAAAATTTTATTTCAGTATAATATGAGAAAAAAAGAAATCTGAATTCTGACTTTAATCTCAGAATTCTGACTCCAATCTCTGAATTTTGGATCTTAATTTAGATGGGCACCATCAAGGAAGAGATGTGGGTGCACTCAGCTTCACTGACAAAGATGTGAGTTGTTTGGGAGGGCCAAAAACACATTGGTGGAGAAATGACGAAATTAGACAACTTTTTACGCGCCCAAGGGGTCCCCGTTGATGCTATTTCATTAATGGAGGAGCAGAAGGTTATTAAAAAAAGAGAGCTGGTTTAGTCTCTAAAACAGACATGGCTACAGCTTGTTGCTAATATGTCTGTTAGCTTTCAGAATTCAGTCAGAATTCTGAGAAAAAAGTCAGAATTCTGAGATTAAA